CTGTTTGAAGGAAAAACAGCTTCAACACTGACAAGAATCCATTTTAAGAGCAAGGGAACCAATATTAGTTATATACAGACTTAATGTTTCGACACATATATGTGCGCAGCTAAAAGCGATAGCCACAATTAAACTAGTCTAAATTAAGAACTAGCTTTCGTTCTGTTACTGACAATGTGTGATAAAAAACGAGAAAAGAATATATATGAATTGGATGTTTCTAATTCGATTCTTCAGCTGGGATCCTAAGGAAAGCGTCATAAAAGCCTGAAGAAAACGATGCAAAAGAAGGTTTTTTGAGCCAAGTCGATTACTCAGAGCTTTCTTTTGTTTTCCTTGGATGTGAACTAGAAATACGTGATGGTTGTATCTTTGTTTTGTATGCTTTTAAGACGAACAATAAAAGTAAAATCATTATGAAAAATTAGGAAAGAGAGAAGGAAACGAGACAAAACTAAAGAAGAAGATAAGTATTAGTAATAACAGCAAGAAATAACTAGAAAAGAAAAGAGGAAGAAAGAAAAAAAAAAAAAGATTAAATTACCAGAAACGAAAAAAACCCCAAAACAAACAAAACAAAACAAAACAAAAAACAAAACAAAGTAAAATGCTGTACTGAATTTTTAGACTTTTATAAGCTTTTAAAAGAAACCTTTTGCAGTTAGGAACAGCTGCAAGAAAGACAAACAAAATTTCACCAAAATTTTCGTTGTCAATCAGAGGCTTATGAGGAAACTCTAGACTTAATGATCTACATTTTTTTCATAAGTCAGAATTCTAAACTGTCAATACTGTAAACCAAGAGTGAGAATTTGTAAAAACAAGACTAATTTTTTTCACACATTCAAAAATATCTGTCTAATTTTACTTAGTATTTAGATGGCATATAGTAGCTGGTATATTGTTTAATCAGATTTTAAAAATATTTTGAAGAAGCCTTTTAAAAGAAATATTATTGAACAAGTACCACTAGGAAAACCTGTGAAAATCTCTCACGATTGTTCTCAGTACATACGACAAACTAAGGAGGTGGCAAGCCTGCAACTGAAGTCTCATTTATTGTGACGTGAAAACTTGCRACCAATTTTCTTGATTCAACACGGTAACAAACTTGCCGGATGGGTTATATTCATTTGCTTCCAGGAAGGAAGCCGTCAGCCGTATGATTAACCATTATATAATGATTGAGAGAAGAGTTTGAAGTCTCATTTTTGTTTGTCAGCGTTGATCGTTTATTATGGTCAAAGCACACGAAAAAGCGCGCGAAATAATTATACACACAAGATATGCATGAAAAATTCACATAYCTTACACATCAACGTACAAAAAATATATACAAAACGTATATATAAGAAAATTTTCAAATAAAAAAACACCCACACATTAACACACCATAGACAAAACTTTACACAAGAAATCGCAGAGCAAAAAAACTATAATTCAATTTCTTATGCAATGCTTGTGACAGCCTTCATCAGTATTTTATTTTAAACGAGTTCATGTGTTCTATGGTTGAATGAGTCGGTGTATTTTTCATCCACTTCTAGCGCATGCGCAAGCAGGTGCCAGATGATTGGTTACATGACGATAGACGCGTGAACTTTAAGTATTTTACCACATTTGTGAATTTTCTCGCTTTCTAAGTCGATAGGAGAAATACCAATAAAATACGTCAGCAAATCACGCGCGCGCTTGATACCGTTTTTATTTCAAATTTTAACCTTGTTTACGTAGTGAAATTGTCATTCTGTCAAGTTCAGCAATAGGTTACTCTTATGGTTAACGCACTTGTTCAGATCCGCAATAAAGCAGGAATATAAGCGGGACTAACTTACTTGAATTCGTTTTCCGACTTTGCGTCGTGAGATCTAGACACAAGATTTAAATACGCACGAGTGCATGGTCTCTTGAAATAGTATGTTTAAATTGTGCAAAGAAGAAAGAAATAGTAAAAGAAAGAATCAAAAAGAAAAGAAAAAGAAAAAGAGAGAAAACGAGAGACTTTAATTACCAATTCCAATTAATGACATTTTTTTTCCAAGCAAGTATTGTTTCTAAAGAAAGAAAGAAAATATGATTAATAGAGAGAGAGAGAGAGAGAGAGAGAGAGAGAGAGAGAGAGAGAGAGAGATAAAGAGAAAGAGAGAGAGAGAAATTTTGTCTTCCCTTGATAATGAAAACCAGAAGCTGTAAAATACGTAAAATTATCCGGCTGCTATAGACAACTAGCAGTATAATTACCTCTATTAAATACCCACAATGAATTAATACAAGCACAGTACAATTAAAAAGAAAAAAAAAAATTGTGACAAGAATATAAACTTTCAGAACAAAAATAGATGCTCATCATGCAATGTCAACCACAATTTTTTTTTCTATATATGTTTTTTCTATATTTATATACAAACTAAGAAAAAAATRTGTCTATCTAAAGTTGAGGAAAAGCTATCAAACATACCTGAATGTAAGCATTATTTTTGGTCGCCAATAAAGAATAAACAAATTAAATGCTGATTTTGCGACAACATATGTTTAAGAAGTACAACTTGTTAACAAAGAAGAATACAATGTACGAGTTACRGAGTAAATTTGGACACTTTAAAGGACTAATGAGCAGAAAACAAGGACTAGGAAAAACCTACTTTAGTTTAGTTGAAATTTCGCAGACAGCTTAGCAGTAAAGGTGCTCGTTTGRGTTTATAACATGGCGTAAAAAGGAGTTTTTTTTTCTTACTAAGAAATATCAGGAGTAGCTCAAATTAGTTTTTCTTTTCAGAATTTCCGATTGTTAAATATATTAGAGAATGATATGAAAATTTTATTGTGACATTTGGTAGATGCGTTGTGCCAACATATGCATGGTTGCTATTGGACGTCATAGAGAAACCATTTGAGTCACCTCCTCCCTGCTGTTGTTAGACTTTTCATTCAGGAAAATAAAATTTGAGGAAATTTTATTAATGAAAAGTTACTTTATAAGAAAGGCTGATAGCTAAGTGACTCGTGTATAGTTGGTTTCAACTAATGCAGATTCARTTCTAGCCTTTGTTGAGCGTGAGAAATTATTCTGAAGAATCTCATTCGACCTTAATTTATATCCCCTTAGAATTTGTCTTGTTTTGCCACATGAACTAAGAAGAAGGCTTGTTCTAGCAAGACAACAACCCCTCCACGACATGAACTACAGGGTAACCCAGGATATAACAGGAATATGTAGAGAGAAAAGTTTATATGTTTTGCTTTGTTGAAATTAGCAGGAANAGAGAGAGAGAGAGAGAGAGAGAGAGAGAGAGAGAGAGAAGAAAATATACTGATCCCAATGGATCGAAATCCCATTAATTTCTTTAAGCAAAGCCTTCTTCTTAAACTCCTATTCTAACCACCTCCTTTTTCTTGGCAAACGTATATATACTCCAATTAAATTGTATTTCTACAAGCATCTTTATCAAACGTATCTATGTGACGTTATTGTTCCTTATAACCTAAACCAATTTCGCAATCAATACATTTGTTTATTACTCCAATCTACCTATACATTCTCGTGGGCAATTGCTGAGACCAGTAATCGACCCCCCAACAGGTGGATAATAGTTTTTCACTGCTTCAAACATTTCAATCGATTAGCTTTTCTTTCCTGTGGCTTTCGTTCCGTTCGGTGCGACAAATTCAAGCATCGACATCTAAGTAGTTATGTGGGTAGTTAATAACTGCTGTCCATCAGTGTCAATCCTCACGTGTTGGGCTTATATCACCTAATTTGAAATTAACAAACGGATTTATATTTTTAATTCCTAAGGCGACTAACAAGAAATTTGAGATCTTGTAACTTGGCGTACTTACAATATCGAATGGGTGAGATTTTCTGGATGGATGGATGGATGAAAAAAACTAACTTATTACTGAACGCAAAATAATTTGGAGAACATGACATAAATTTGACAAAACAAAGCACTGTTTTTCTCTTTTTTTCTCGATATTTTATCAACATTAACCTAATCTTAAAAACAAAACAATTTCACTAGAAGATAAAAATAAAGACCTTAAAAAACAGTTCAAAACTCAGTATAATTATGAGATTAAGATTAAGATGCTTGAATAAAATTCCTTCTCTAGGTTTAACGTTGGATTTAACTTTCTTTTAGATGATCTAAAAATAATCAAGACGCTTCTCATCACCAAAATCTTTTTTTTTAAACACACACAAAACTTAGATTGAAATAAACGTCTTTTGTTTTGTTTCGCTGTTTTGGTAATAGGTAGGTTACAATAATACACAGTGCAAACTGCAATTAGAAATGAAATAAAAAAGATTCTAAAGGGATGGGTCTTTACAAAGACCATTAGTTAACACAATGCAAACAATCCAAATGGAATTCTTTTAACTTCGATGTCAAATCCGTTTAAAAGTAAAACATTTGAGCTTAATTGGTTAAGTTTACGATAACCTAAATCTTATTAAATTTTTACTTTCCTGGGGATTGTTTCTTAATACTTTTCGTATTAAAGAGTAATTCATAACAAAAATATTAAAAAAATTGTAGATAAAAAATTTACGAGAAAAAGTTTGATGTTTTGATATAGTGGGGACATAAAAATAGGGGAACATAAAATGTGTCGTCATATTATGTTGTTTTTTTTTTCAGGATGAACTGGAGTGCACAGAGGTTGTATATTCGAGCCCAATTTCCGTTGCTCTCGAAGCTAAACAAAAGCTAGTGGACATTCTTCCACCTAATTGAGCAATTTAGGACTTAAGGCAGCAGCCTCCACCAATGGAAAGCCGCCAAAATGATCTTTTATACCCCACAAGTTCAATTTAGAAATCTGTAAAAAAMGAGGAGATAAATGTGCAGATGTTATATTGCAGTTTGTAATTGATCTTTAGGCCTCTTGTGTTGACGTTTTCGCCGGACAGATCTCTCAGAAAAGTAATTGAATACTAACACAAAATAGGAAGTGTCCTCCCACTTTTTGATACCGACCGCCTTATAAATACACAGTCTTTTCAGTCCTAAACACAACCATCGAACAACATATCTAGACTTGTGCATTCACTCATACCTATATTCAAAATGAAGGCTGCTCTCCTAGTATTAGCACTTCTGGTCATCGCCCTATACCCAAGAGAATCTGATGCATTTACTGCTGGTATTGGTAATGTTGGTAAACGACAATACAAGGTAACTTACTTCATATCTTAACTCCTGTTTTCGTCTAGTTAAGTCTCTGTTTTAGATCGTTACGATTCAAAACAGCTCTAAGGCTTGCTATCTTAAGTGCTTAATCAATTCAGTGAAATCTTAAACATGATACTCGGTGACAAGTACTAAGTAATCTTGAAGGAAAACTTTAACTTAAGAAATTTTCTAACTCATGAGTATTTTTCTTCATTTATCTTCCTTTCACTATTGCTTTCGCACTCAACGTGTGGCATATTTATCGGATGCATTTTTTTTGTCGCAAAGATTGCTTAAACTATTCTCGTTTAAAATCATGCCAGTCTGTATTTCTATCCGATTATCTGAATTTCCCGATGCATAATTTTTTCTCTCTATATTTTCACAAAGTTTTAAAAATCTTTTTTTGTAATTCGTTTAAGACCTTCATACATGCTATATTTCTTTTTGTCGGGGCTATAATTAAAATGCAGGAAAAAAACTATAAAAGAGTGCCTATAGTTCAGGTAAACTGTTTGATAGAAATTTTGAAGATCTACGAAGTCAGTAGACAAACAAGATATGACTAGAATCAGAGTAAAAAGAGAAGGAAAAAAAAAGAAAAAAAAAAAAAAAAAAAAAAAAGAAAAAGAAAAGAAAGAAAGAAAGAACGAAAAAGAAAAGAAGAATAAGAATAGAAGATGAGGAATAAATTAAATTTCTTTGGGCAAGTATAGAGACAAAACAACGGTCCAAGATATTGCGAGCGCAAATCCACCTCACTTACCATTAAGCTTCAACGTTAACAGATGTCGAAAAACATATCTTACAAACGTCAAGTTGTTAAAGCCAAGGGTGTTTTTAATAATTAACAAAGAATCAGAGTATTAAATGTCAAGAGAAGTGTTTTGGAAACATATTTGCACTTAACATAGCGAGTGGGGGAAACCTCGAGAAGTCATTTGCAAGATCCCATAGTTCATTGTACGGAGACATCTTTGATGTTTTGCGGGATAGTTCCGTAGTTAGTGACGATTAATGATATYAGATACTCGATGTATTTCTAATGTGATATTAATGTTCAGAGGGCCGATATTTAAATCTTGAAGTTAGTTATTTATATTCGTAAGATTTAGCCTAATCAATGGGAAACCAGAAGTTGCTCAACCAGTTTCAAGTCTTTATTTTTGGGTCTAAATCACTGAGCTTTTTTTTTTGACAACGATTTCCGAGCTAAGTGTAAAACAGATTGATTATATTTAGAGTACTGGACTTAATGTGTCTGCGCAAAATCATGACTTAAGCGAAATCGTGAATATTCTATTAAATTTAACCTTGCGTTTCACTTTATCTATTTGCCAGGTTGAACGAGCCTTTGAAAGAGTCTGTAGAATCACAATGGAGGCCTGTGTTCAAGCATCCGCTAAACGAAGCGCTGAAGACTCAGATTCACCTCTTTTAAAGAACTAAAAAAATGGACCCGACTCCGAATACAAACTAACATTAGAACAAATAGCATGAATGGGAAAGAGCGAGAATGAACGACAACTATGTGACAATTCATGTATATTTAAGCGTGTCCTGCTGCTTATTGTAGAAAAATGTAACCTAGGTGTGGTGCACAATCGTGAATGTCAGATATGGTGTCTTGAAATAAATGGAATATTATCGAAATGGATGATAAATAAATAAATATTTAATAAATTGGCAAAGCTAACGAACATGTTGTGTGTGGTTATTCATTAAAAAGATGGGTTATTTATTATGATGTCAACTGGCCGAACGAACTGTTTGAACTGATATAAAAAAAAATAAAGAGAAGTTATGAGGAGGGAGGAGGTAAAGGAAAAGAGAAGAGAAGAGAAGAGAAGAGAAGAGAAGAGAAGAGAAGAGAGAGAGAGAGAGAGAGATGTCTTTTATTTAATCTCGGGAAATTTCATCAATGTACAAATTGGTTTTCATGAAAACCGAGTTCATAGGTAATATATATAAAAAATTAAT